AAAACACTATTAAGCAAAAAGTGAAATCTTACTGATCTGCACAAGGTTCCTGAAATTGATCATTTTTACAGGGTGGACACATTGTATCTATTAAAAACAACACTGGCAACTTACACAAAAGATCAGCTTATGTTTGTGTTTCGCATTGCTTTGTATAAAAACAGAAGACACTCAAGTGCTCCTGTTGCAACAGCTTCATCTAGAGACAACTGAGTAACAGGAGGCCCACCCGAGCTGACCCACATGCAATAGGTGCACAATGTCACCACTTTTCCTAATCAAAACTGAGGTTTCTTACTCTAAGTAAGCACATCTTCCCAATTATTTAGTGCAGGAAATAGTCTCTTTCTAAATTTACCTTTCAGTGAGTCATTTTCAGCTCTCATTATGTCAATTAGGGAGTTCTCCAGTGAATGCATGTCAAAAGTCCTTGTTCGATCCTGCAAACAAATACAAACAAAGCCACTTGAAGCAACATGCAGTGTTGAGCTAGACCATCTGAAAAAAATGACCATCAGAAAAGCCTCAGCTTTGTTCTAGTTGCTATAATTAAACAAAAACACACCACAAAAGTTAGTCTGATATTAAACATCAGAATACTCTTAAATATTAATCTAATCTATATGTATCATAATCAATAATTTGAGAACTCCAATACTTAGTTTGTACTCCTTGCTACACAGTTACACTTTGTTAAAAATAATTTCACAGTTAGGAAGTAGAGATCATATCCCAGGTGACAGAACTGCACAGAGAAATAAATTAGTTATTTCAGCCCAAATTTAAGGAAATCTAAATTCCAGAAGCACAGAATTTCCTTCACCTAAACTGCTGCACTAACAAATAATTTAATTCTGCACAGTCATTCAAATTCTGCATAATTATCCCATACATGAAGTGTCCTATACAAGCAGTAGTGTTCCAAATAGCCTCATTCACTAGGGGACAGACAATTTAGCTCTGAGTTTTAATTCCCTGAATTCACAAGTTTGGTATTCCAAACATTCCTAGAACTGAAAGAGGACTCAACAAATGGGAGGCAGGATGTCTCATGTACCTTACTGTTTCATTATCTCAAGCCATTTGAACTACACTTCAGCAATTGCCACAGACTTCCCCAACTAAAACAATAAATTCCACATCTTACAAATCTGATGCCGCATTAGTGTAACATCACAAAAATTATCCTGGCACTGCATTGTTTTAATTAGCATATTTAGAATAAATTAAATTACATCTAAACTTTGTAATCTTTACAGTATGATAAAAAGTCACTAATGGAGATAAAAAATCCCTCTCATTCCCAAAATTATTCACCTACACGTGTTACCTGGGTATTTACACATTTGGACATTTGTAGAAACACCTGGATAGAATTTTCTACAATTTCATTAATCCACCTTGAATCTAATTTTCTGTGTCCAAGAAAAACTGTAGTATCAGTTCTAAAGATTTTATTTCATTCGTATTCTAAGAGCCTCACACCCAAACTGAGATCAAGCATGGAAAATATCTGTTCAAATAAGAAAGCAAAACGTGAGAAATTCAAGAGACGTTTTCTCTAAACTGCTTCTCTACCTACTATCGTTATTACAGCAGTGAATATCTTTTTGTTCCTGACTCTAGCTGTGAAGCTGAAATGTCTCCAAAGCACACAGACCCAGCTTTGATCATTTTTAAAACCAGTGGCGAAGCAAAAAAAATAGCATTGCACAAAGACTGTTGTTTCAAGTTATAATGTCCTTTACCTTCCAGGAATGAAATGCTAAAGCCGTATTGAGACAACAATCAGTCATCTTGGACTTTACCTAAATACTATTTTAAGAGTAGGAATCCATTAGCTCATAGGGTCTGATTCATTTCAAAGTTCATAAATTACATTCTGGCTGCCAAAAAATACTATTTTTCAATGAAATTTTCTGAGATTATTCCTCTCTTCAGAGTAGTTTATTACTGACACAGAACAGGTGAAGTATTTCTATCCGGATGTGCTGCATTTCAAATAGCATTAGAAAGATCAGAGTTTGGAGACATTTGCTTTATTAGTCTAACCCCAAATCAAATTTGGTATAAAAAGCATAGTGCTGCCCTCTCTCTACACCATCTTTATTTCCTTAGTCATTTATATTACAGGATAATTGAGGCATCTTACAGAAACTCTCATAAGCATCTAGGTTCTTATGTTCTGTGGTTTCTACTTGTACGTGTTTCCTGCTGGTTACTTCCTTTTATAGCACTATTTATGTATTGTTTTGGTTTATGTGTTACTAGTTCCTAACTATTTTGAACTCTAGTTACACTAAAATACCTTAGCAGGAAAGAGTAGAAGTCCGTGGATCTGTGCATCCTGAATCCATTAGGATCTAACAGCTGTGAAACTCAGGAATGGATGCTAGAAGACAATCTCTACATTTGCAGCAGTCCTCCCAGCATGACAAAAATAGCCTAAAACACAGGTGGGAGCACTTTCTGAAAATCTGACATCCCTTAGTAGCTATTCCTTCTTCCATTCTGATTTCATAGTGTATCATGTTTCTCTTTGTGGAATTAACCTCAAGTCCAACTCATGTTCAACTGCACAAATTCTGATTTCCTAAAGTGCAGAACCTGACTAGCTCTAAGTCTTTGCTGAACTTGTGGCACTTAACAGTTCAGTTGTTTGAGAGACACAAAGAGAGAAACCAAAGCTGAGCCATTTCTAGTTTGTGCAGTGTACGTGCTGGAGGACATGAGCCCAAAGATAGTTGTCTCTAAAATGTTATGTTGCATAGAGATATAGTAACAGAGGACTTGGCTGCAATGGTACCTTTTTAATATTTACAATCAAGAGTTTTAACATTTGAGAGAAAAAAATAAATATGTGTTAAACTGATTACGTGGTGGGGACACTACATTCTCCAGTGGAAGCTTTTTGTGATGAGGAGTTTATAGTTTTCCCCTTCTGAGTGAACCAGCTGTCACTTGATAGTAGAAGGTCCATAAGCTTCTACTTACACTGCAAACATTTACAACATGACCCTGTGCACTGATACAGAAGATCATATTCCCACCTGCAGCTATTGGCAATCACATAAAAAGGAGGGCTGGCTAAAATATGGCCCACTTTCATATTCACGCTCTGCACTGGTTCCAATAACTTGCCATAGCAATGGAGAAGACTGCCACCCTCAAAATGCCAATGTGTCACTATATTTTTTTGCCTGTCTTTCCAACAAAAGGTCTGGGTTTATCTAACCACTGTTGTCAATTCATGGTGCTGAACTGGTCCAGCCTCAACACCCTTGGGAAGATCAGTCTTGTTCCTGGGTTGTTTGAAACATTTTACTCTTCTATGTGTCTGCTTGTTAATTAGAAGGTAGTAGTGTGCTCAATGTGGTTTGCTAAGAGGCACCACTACTGGTCCATTGAACATGGATATATACCTAAAATTAATGGAGCAGCTCACTTCTCTGGAAATGCAGTCATTCAGTAGCTTGGTACGTAAGTCAACCTGTATCCGTCTATCCAACAAAAATAGGTCAGAGCCACATATGTCCTAAACAAATGACCAGACAAAATGCTCAACTGGTTCAGAGGTTTGCACAGTGCTTGTTATAAAAGAAGCCCATTAATTTCATTGGCTACTTGCCCTAATATGCAAAGGGTCTACTTTACTAGAGAAAGTCACCATTTGCAGTTTTTTTAAATTTTTATACAATTTAAAGGCCTGTTATTTTCAGAGTGCTTTAAAAACTGCAGCAAAAATTTTGCCAGTCTTAACTTCCACGATAGCCAGCACATTTTATGAGAAATACTATTATATCTGAATATATAAGTATTTTATAGCTACCATTAAAAAAGACTGATGACAGGTTAGTGGTAGTGGCCGTATTGCTTAAGAAATGTGTAACTATACATTTGATTCCATGACATCAAAAAAGCTGTAACAATCAAGATATTGAGCATTAACCAGTGTTATGTTAGTTACGAGTTATAGAGCACAAAAGCCACACTGTACTTAGGAAAAAAGGAAGCTTTTCTGCGAGAGACTGAATGTAGAAAAATTAATAACAATAGATTGTGATGTTTTAATGGATCAATTCCCTAAGTTACAGTGCTTTCCACAAAGCTGGATTGCTCACTGTGTACTTTTTCATGTATTTATAAGGAAAATATATAGGGGCAATGACTACCCTGAAAGAAAGAGTATGTACACTTCAGTAACAAAATAAGTTAACTACAGCCCGATATTATTTACCCAGGTTGATCAAAAGAACTTGGCTTTACACAAGTTTGTTTAAGGCATTTAAAATGTTGCTTTATCAGATGGCTCAAAGGGCACAAACATTTATCCTTGGGCAAGAGAACAGAGGCAGAAAGGCATCAGGTTGAACACAAGGCAACAAGAACAAAAAAAAAAGTCAACCAAAAAGAAAGAAATTCATCTGCAGTCTTAATACATGACGATGTTTTAAATGTCAGCCAACATTTTAAAAGGCATTCATGAAATGTAATCATGAATCAGCAGTATTGTTTCCATATTAATAAACAAGAGGTGGCAGCTAGCAGATCTGGTTAAGCGAGAGCTATCGAGACTGGAAACACTCCACAACAGCAAAGAGGACAGTTCTGAACAATACACTTGCCAGCTCTGTCTGCAGAAAAATAAAATTATTCTGATTATCCGATGTCTAGAAATCATTGATAAGTAGGTAGAGAACTCATAATAATGCAATCTTATATTTAAAGCATAGAGAGCAGAAATCAGAGCTTCATGTCACAAGAATGTCACTGGATTCAAACAGTATGGGCAAACCACTTCACCTCTGTGACTGGACTGGTTTCCCCAGTAGCACCCAGACAGAGTATTTCATGTTAAAATGGAGCCACTTGTAAATAGGAAATTACTACATGCTAATTCCTATTTCTATTTCATTTTTCAAAGTCCAAAGACATTTTGATTCCAAAAAGAAAGTCACTTGATACTAAGCATGCAGGAGACATTGTGGAACATCCTCCTATGCCAAAGAAATTAAAGGTGATTTTTTTCATGCACAGGAAGATGATACTTTGCACTTATCAATCCTGTACCTAAATTCTCTTGAGCATCATAAAAACTATAACAACTATTCAAGTGCAGACTCACTATATTTAACCAGCACCAATAGCATTATCATGACCTGAACAATTAAGATTCCAGAACCTGAGAGTTTCTCTTCAGTGCTTCCCATGATGAGCCTCCCAGTGCTAAAATACCAAACTGTACAAGTAGTAAAGCCTGGCAGGGTATAAGCACTTGCTGGTAGCTAAAGCTGCACCTAATCTTACAAAACACAACTTTTCTGAAGACCAAGGCATTAATAATAATGCAAAGTATGCTATTGCATTAAGCAGTTTATTGAAGATGAGTCATCATTAGTTATGGAGTAAAAGTAGCCATGAAGCTGGAGCTTATTTTATATATTTAAATCTTTGTCAAACCAGAATTACTTGTGAAACTTAGAAAACTCACCACTACTTTTACTACCCTCATTAGAGCATGGAAGCCCGAAACTTGCTGAAACCTTGTACATATTTCCCACAATTAAAAAGCCTTGTGTAAAGTGTGCAGGGAGAGGCAAGATGTAGATACTAAATACAAGTTCCACATTTTCTTTTAATTGCAAAGCAAATTTGGACTTGATTATGCTGCTGGGTAAGCTTCCCTCCTTCCCACCACCCTGCAAATGCTGTATTCCAGCTCCCTGTCCAGCATCCAGTGAATTAAAGGCTTTGAATAAACAGGTTTTTCCTGAAAGGATGTTGCTGTGTGCTGCCCTGATCATCTTTTATAGCTTCACCAGGGAACAATAAGAAAAAGCTGGAAAAGTTAAGTGACGCATTAGAAGTTTTTTTGGGAGGGAGCTCTTCTTGTTTGGTCAAACTTGAACTTTTTTTTAAGTGTTAGAAATTACAGACCTTATAAAAATTTCCAGTAACATGTCTCATTCTATTTTAGCCACACAGTTAAGTTTTTCATGTACCTTCTAGAAATTATTTTCCACAATACCTTGTGTTCTCAGTCTTTGTGCTGGGCTGCTAAGTATGCAATTTTCAAAGCAAAATGCTTAATAAGAGTACTCCTTTTAATCTTAGGAAAATACAAACATAATTCAAATAGCTTCTAACAAAAGCTCTCTTTAAAAAGAAACCCCGAGGTCAAAAACACACAGGAGGGCCAAAGCCAAAGTATTAACGTCAGTAGTAAGTTTATAAAACAAGAACAGTGTTAACTTCCACAGTACTTAACTTGTGCATGTCATACCACATTCGGGTGCTTCTAATTCCACAGATCAGTAGCTGTGGGGGACAGCTCACAAAACACTAATTACTACACAGCTGATACAGTTATAGAAAAATGGAGGAACAGGAATTTAAAAATCAAACTTTAAGTGTTCCTTCTATTTTAAAAAGACAGTTTGAAATGTCTTTAAATATTTGCTGTTGTTAGAATGGAAAGCAAAGTTCTGCAAAACAAGTAGCCTCATTTATGCAACCAGCCATTGTGATTTATGTAAAAGGTTCCTCAAAAACAAAGAACAAATACTAAAATAGAGAGGCATGGTAAGGAAATTTTTCTGCAAAATTCCTTCAAGAGGAAGGATCGGCAAATGCTTTCAAGAGGTTCTTTTTCAATTCTAGTTTCCTGCGAATTTGTTTAACACACTTATTAAATCAACCCATTTCTATGGGCAAACAAATCACGACGTATAGCTCGGAATTAAAACACATTCTGTAATCACGTATGTATGTTCTCAAACATTCCATATCTGCCTGGGGGAAGAGAAAGTCTCTCTGGCACAGACCCTCAATGGATTTGGAAGGGCTTATATACCTGGAAACCAGCCACTGGAGAAGAAAGGAAAAAACATTTTGAACAAGTGAATATAATGAACTGTTCTCATGTACAAAATTCTTTGAAACGGGCAGTTATTTTCCAGCCTGATTCCAGGAAGAAACACAAATTATTTTTAAGCATTTTTACAGAAAGCTGAACACCACTGCTTAATTTGCTTATGCTTCAAAGATCAATTTAAAAAACACCATCCCACATTTAAAGATGAGATCTGGAAACCTGGAAATGCCTATCAAAGCAAGATTTATGCATTGCATAACAGGCAGGATGTTCCACTCTCATGAGGAAGTGCAAGTACACAGCACAAGGAAAGCCAGAACAATCTTGAGGGCAATGCTGCAGTAAAATGCAATTACTGAGCACTTAGCTTGTGAGTGCTGCTGGGAGAGAAGTAGAAGGAATTATTTTTTAAAAATCATTAACTTTGTAAGATTCAATAGTCACAGTGAAAACATCTTCATTTATGAATTCTCAGGGAAAGCTGTTATATCCAAAATACTTTTTTTTTTTTTCTTCAGGAACCATTTTTTCGTTTGGAGATCATTTCCTTTTCAAATGAACGCACAAAGAACAATGGCTTTTCTCTTTTCAAAAGATCTTTGAAGGGGAAGCCTGCCCAGTGGCTAAAGCACAATATCAAAACATAATGTCATTAACAGATCTGGTAACAGTCTTCTCTGACCTTATGTCCAGTTCCATCCCTGCAATGCGAGATTCCTACAGACATACCACTTGTGAAATGTTGTGAGACAGAATTCCAAATGAAAAACACTTAGAACAAAAAGCACAACGTTTTGCATGCAGCTCTCAAGACCAAGCAAGCAATCTTCAAATTGCAAGATTATCAAACAGATCGACACAGTATTTTCCTTTTATCTGCACCATTTGGAATGCCCACGTCATCAAAAACATCTAAGGGCCATGGGCAGAAATACTTGAAGTGAGCAGCAGTTCACATTAGTGGCTTATAGGGACATTATGCAATGTTGTTCTCTCTGAAGAGGAAACGAGCACTTACACTTTTTTACCCTAAGATTTCCATCAAAACACAAACTTCTGTGTTTCACTGAGCTTTGGAGTAAAGACAACCTTTGAGAAAAAAGAAAGTGATCCCCAAATATTTGCAGTTGCCAGTTTACATCTTGCCTTCTAAAGAAAATAATTTTCACTAGATTGCAGCAACACTTGTTAATGATTTAAGCAGCAAAACATAAATATTAAATGAAAGGGATAGTTGTATCAAATTACTCCATTATGTTGCTGCAGCAAAGACAGCTTTCAATTATTTCCTAAACACGAATCTAAGAAGATTCCAGTAACAAAATAGCCCTGTCCAGTACATGATTGCATCATCAAGGGTACTTTCTAGATATTTTTATATATGCATGAAAACAAATATACAATGAGCTAAACTCCTTATTTCTGCTTTGAGTCAGTCATACAATTTGCATAATCAAGAAAAAATAGAAAGACATCAAAGGTCAAATTTTACATCATTTGTTTCCAGTGATTCAAAAATTCAGTCTGCTTCCAACACACGAGTGACTAAGTGACCAAAGAAGCTGAAGATTTTATAAAAAAAAGAAAAAGAAAAAGAAAAAAAAAGTTATGACAAGCAGTTGTCCAAGATGGCTTCAAAATTAATCAGCATCTTTGTAGGTCTGCAGTGCTGAAGTCCTGTTTTGCTGCCCTGCCCTTTTCTTCACAGAAGTGATAGTAACAGACTGGAAAGCACTTCGCTCCAACACTTTCCTTTTCTTGGCATGAAGAAGTGTCAGACTTGGTCTTGACATGTACAGCTTCATCTTAGTGTTTATGTAAACAGATACCAACATGCTACACAAAAAATATTTCTTTACCATGATCAAAATACGTGTGTCTGATATTTTATTTTTGGCACGTAACTCAGAAGCCAAGGTTGACTTTGCCAATTTCCTGAAATTTCCTTGATGTCAACCCAAGAACATTTCTATTGCTGTGTATATATTTGGGCCTTATACACAGCAGCAAGGACACACTTGATTTCATTCTGTCACTCTGCACATCAGCTATGTGTCAGGGTACAGAGCGAATTAAACTGTGAGCCAAGTCTCGCTGCAGTGAGGCTGAAAAAAGACTGACTCCAGCTGTGTCCCTTTCTCTAATGGTTTCAGTGTATAAATTTGGTATGCTGGACACAGGTTCATTATATTAATTACAAATCCTGACATCAGAATCAATTATTACTATGCTTTCTAAATTTCAAGGGCTTTACCTGATACTGAACTAGCTAGTAGCTCTGCAGCAGAAAAAAGGTCTCTAATGGAAAGTTATTGCCAGCAGCTGCTGTGTTGTCAGAAGGCTGCACAGGCAGGCCCTGCAAACCAGGCAGAAACTGAACAGTTTACAAGGAAGAACTGAACTGTTCCTATGTCTGAATCCACAAGGTCATGACTAAATATATTTCTGTTTCTTTAGGGTGGTTTATAACATGAGACATATTGCACAGTTTTTATCTACAGATCTTTCAAATTATTTTAAAGTAGGTCACCCTGACTCTTACTAGAAATACTGCAGCCCTTCTAAAATTTTTACTTTTACCCTCATTTAAGATCTTGAAAAACATCACACTCAAGGGAAAAGAACCCCTGCATTTTTGGATTCACTCTAAAGGAGTTTACAAAAGGCACACACACAAAAGCTAGGTTTAACTAGTGGTCAGATGAAGAGTATTTCTGTTTTCATTTTTACTGCAAATTATGTCCAAAATTATACAGTTCTTTTCAAGTTCATAAAAAGTCAGCTACAAGGAGAGGTTGAACTGCCAGACAACCTGTCTCCTGCCAGGATAGGGCCATATTAAAATACAGGAGACCACCAACTGAAACTGGTCCAGATCTATTTTTGGTGATGATTTAATGGCCTGTAACCAAAATATACTGCCATGAGCGAGGTAAGCACACTGTGTTGATTCTCAGCATGTAAAAAATTCAGAGTTCCCAAAAAAATACAGCAGAAATTATGTTCCCCTACAAGCCCATGAGATACTGTAAAACAAATTACAGTCACTTAATACTTTTTCTCAGACGTGATACGCTCTCAAATACTTTCATACTTCATCAGGCAGCACTTTTTTCCTCACTCCTTTTTATAGTTATACTTGCTACTTGGAACTTAATTTGTTCAGTGGCCACTTCTGAATGTGTTAGGCTGAAGGAAACCTGCTAAGACAGATGTCTGGTGGGCAACAGATATTTATACGACCACCACTATTAAAAAGGCAAACAAACAACAAAACCCACAGAATTCACAAGGCAGAGCATAATTCACACGATGATATTTCAAGTTAGTAATTTGTTTCTTTCAGTTGCAAGCACAGAAGTGTCACAATCAGAGGGTACTGTTCAAAACCCCAACCCTGTCCAGGGCATCTTAATGCACTTAGGTGTTATTTTTCTTATGGATATAACCGAGTGTGCTCACCTGAAAAGGAAAAATGTTGTCAGCTCTATTCAAACTGTCTTCCATCCACGATTTTGGAGCAAAGGCTGAGCTGGGTCGAGCATATTTCTGTAACTGGATATGATTACTTGCAAAATTCTTCTTTAAGGGCGAGATGGAGTTCAGGGGTGTTATCCCTCCGTTCAGTCCCCTGCGGTGGTCTCGACCTTGGGACCCACCCCACCCACCGTATCCACCACCACCAGGGCTCCATGAAGATGGGGTAGGCGATGGACTTTGGTAGCTGCTCCACGGAGAAGGTGGCTTGTTAAGATTATTAGCCAAATGAGGCAATTGATTAAAAGCAGCATTTCTATGTGTGAATGGAGGTGGATGAGGACTTGCAGGAGACCTCCTCTGTTGCTGATGCTGATTGTGATGATGCTGAAAATGGGGGTGATGAGGGTGGTGTTGAGAGAGGGGTCCAATTTGGGGGGAAAAGCTACCACCAAAGCCAGGGCTGACGTGATGTGGAAAATTCTGAAACAGCAGAGCACCATTATTAGCTGAGGCAGTAGGGACCCCTCCCTGGTGAAAAAAACTTGCATCTTCATTGATTATTGTAGAAGAAGAAGGAGCTATAGCTGCAGACCAGTTACTAAAACCAGTCAGAGAAGATGCAGTGGATGTCAAGGGCTGTGTTGAAGTACCTAGCCCCGGAGCCTCTTGGTAATCAAATCCTGTTAACACCGGCGATTCTATTCTTATTTTCTCCTTCCCATTGCCGTTCTCTGAAGAATTATCGCCCTGGTTTTCTTCAGTTTTAGCTTTCTCAGGTTCAGAGAGCATGCCTGCTTCCTGACTTTGACCAGGGGAAAGCTGCTGTTTTTCTAGGGACTCTTGCTTTTCCTGTTGCTGAGTTTTAGATTTTTCTGACCCCAGAATCTCATCCTGAATATTATGGGCAGCTGGAGCAGGAAAGAGCCAAGCTGACCCAGCACTACTGCCATTGGCAGCTGTGTTATTATTTATAAAAGCAGCAGGGCTGGGGGTTGCATTTTGATGATGGTGTGGAGGCTGCAGATGTGGATGAAATCTGACTGGAAAAGCTGACTTATTTCCAGTGTTGTTTTGCACTAACACTCCAAACCCGTAATCCCCCATTTATTATATTTAGGGTTTGAATCCTCCCTGTAAGAACAAGTTGATGTTTAGTGTTTACCTCGTCCTCTTCTGAGGCGAGATTAGTCTGTATCCTGTTTTTATCTAGATATTCCAGTTTCTCCCTCCACGCAGTGTATTTCAGATTTGGATAAAGATGGTCGGGGTTGTTTGTTGGGGGTTTTTTTGCAAAAGATAGATCTCTTCAGCTATTTAGATGTGTCAATTTGTGTCCGTTTCCTTCCTTTGGCCAGGAGGAAGGGAAAAATCAATCTTTGGTTCACAAAATAAGAGGTTTCCTTTTTCTAAAGGAAATGCACAGCGATGAGAGAAAAAGCTTCTGGAGAATAAGGATAAAGAGATTCTAACTATCCTGTTTTTTTCCTCCTCAGCAGCCTTGACTCGCCCATAAATGAGTTAAGAGGGAAGAAAAAAAAAATATACAATGACGTCTGGTCCCCTGACCCCTTGGCAGCAAAAAATAGATTTAAATCTGGAATAATTTAATACATCTCTATAATCTAATATATATTTGTGTCCTGTTCAAAAAGAGTCTTTGCTGTGGGTAAGGGAAAATTTTACCTTAGGATCTCAGCATTCAGAAGGGTGAAAAAGGGAGTGAGTTGCAGAAGAGGCTTTTCCCCGTGCTGCTGGGTTTAACCTATTATATTTAGTAATAATATACACTTTGTGTGTGTGTGTGTATGCGTGTGTGTGGTTGTTTAAAGGGGTAAGATCTTATCTCAGGAAATTAGTATTCTATGTGTGTTGGGTGGGGAGTGAGTTGTGCAGGAGAAGAGTGGATTCTTAATGCTGCTCCTTTTGGGCTGGGTTTCTGAGCTCACCGGACTCGCTTCTTATTTATGATCCAGTATTTGCATGTCCTTCACATGAGTCCTGGCTGTCCGAAGAGGACGGTTTTCATCTCAGAAATCAGCATTCAGCGTTCGGGAAAAGGGAAGGGAGGGGACAGCGAGTTGTGCAGGAGGAAGGGGAAGGAGATTCTCTTGCTCACTGCTGCTGGGAGGGTGGTTTCTGGTGCGGGGCTCGCCTCCTTCCACCCAGCTCTGCGGGTTCCCTGCAGACCAGCGAGCCCCTGGCCGAGGAAGGGCCGAGCGGATACGCGTGAATGTGTTTTTCCTCCTCAGGGACTCGGCATCCAGCGGGGCAGGTCGGGCTCGCCAGGCCCCGGCTCCCCGTGGGGTGTCCCCGCGGTGTCCCCCCCTCCCAAGCAGGTCCTGGTGTCGGGGAAGGCAGGAGGGGTTGGATTGTTTTTTACCTCAGGAGAGGAGCAGCCTCCGGCAGGGAGGGGAAGGTGCAGGCGGCGGGGGGCCGGGCTCCTCTCTCCCCCATGGAAGGTGTTTAACCGGTTCTCCCGAATCGCCCGGGGATCACGGGACGGGGTCTCGGCCGCCGGGCGGGGGGGCCGGGCGGGGGGCGGGGTCCGGCGGGGGGTGCGCGCGGAGACG